AAGTCCCATCAAACTATGGGCTATTCGCAATTAAAATTTTGGGTTACATGAAATCACCCTAGTTTTATCGTCGTTTGACCAAGGCCTGTTGATTGCCACACTGGTCTTGACTTCGTTTCCACACTTTGTCAAACTGCGAAATTGGAAATGCTTGTTATAAAAAATGCCCGGGGACATACAGCTGGGTGCGTCTGCACATACGAGATAGGAACTATCGTAGCTTCTTGTGATAGGAAGTAACTATCGTGGCTTCTTGGGTGGTGTTGTGTAAGCAGTGTAGACCAGTGGCTTAACCCAGATCCCTGAGGTAGATAGATAGATCGATAAATCGATAGATATATATATAGAAGGGTGGGTACCTGCACTCAAGTGTGATGATATCAGATGGGGCTTTGACCTTGAATCTCACAGCACCGCAATGGCATCCACCTTTGTGTTCTACCAAATGAGCCATGGCTTGTTAAGGCAACCCAAATAAAACAAGAGAAGATTGTATATATTAATATAATGATATACCGTTCATAATTTTTATATATTATTATTATATTATTTGTAACGGGTGTCAAAAAAGGACCCATTTAAAGGGTCGTCTCTGCATTAATTCCAATAAAACTTTGAAAATATAAAATTCAACCAGACGGACGTCAAGTTTGTAAATATGAAAAAAATCAACTTGTTCAAGAAATATTGAGTGGATCGCAAAACTCTACTTCTTAGAAGCGTTCTGCGGCAGGTTCGTGATCGACTCGTTCTGATTTCAGGACAAGAACACGATAGCTACATCAGATGGGTATAATCTCACTATGCTGAGAAAATTTAGGAGAATTTTGGGAAGTAGATTAGAAAGTGTTATGCTGTACTAGTGTGATTCCAGCGAGATGGGACCGCACCCCACACGCTAAATAAATAAAAGTGCCCCTTGTTTGGTAGCAAGAAAGGGTTGGGGAACGCCTTATAAGCCGAAAGTTTACAGATGAATGATCACCACATACGCCTTCCCAATTTGACCCCCTTCAATAACGACCTTTCGTTGTCTTTGGTTTAGTTTTGTTGGGGGTTTTTTCGTTCTGTTTTGTTTTTGTTGGGGTTGTTGGTTTTTTTTTTTTTGGGGGGGGGGGGGGGGGGTTATGACAGGCAGAGTGTTCAGAAACAACTAACAAATAGTGGAACAGTTGAAACTTAATGTTGAACAGATCGTTCAAGGAATCGACCCAGAAACATGCCAAGGAGTTTTTCAAAATTCCCAGTGGCGTATAGGGGCTTGTATGGAAAGAAACAGTTAACATCTGGGGATTGAAATAGCCCTCACCTTCCTGGGTTTATTTGGTAGTGGCAATAACGTTGTAGGAATATTCTCTTCATTGCACGCATTTTAATAGTGATGATTTGAAATGGAACGTATGGTTGATTTTATCAAATGCAATTACAAAAATTTGCGTTTCACTCAATTTTGGTTAAGAAATTTTAAAAACTTGATATTTTTCGAACAAGTTGGTTGATTTCATTTTCATAATTTTTCATACGGACAAAATTTAATGTACCCCCGCCTGGTTGAATTTTATTTCTTCGGAAGTTTTGTTGAAATTGGTCCAAAGATTACAGAGACATGTCTCTGTAAATGGGCCCCTTTTTCGACTCCTTGTAAATAAATATTTATATCATTCATGCATGTTGTCAATGTTGGCTAGTTCAAATATGGCCTTCTTGTCAGTCTGTCTGTCTGTCAATCCATCCTTTCCTCTACTTATCTTTTATTTTAACCTAGCTAACTACCTACAATTATAGTACCTACCAACCTACCTACCTACCTACCTATCTACCTACCTACCTACCTACCGACCTACCTACATACCTACCTTCCAACCTGCTACCTACATATCTTCCTACAAATCTACTTCCTTGTCTATCTGTCTGTCTGTCTGTCTGTCTGTCTGTCTGTCTGTCTGTCTGTCTGTCTGTCTGTCTGTCTACCTGTCTGTCTGTTTGTCAGTCAGTCGATTTGTCAATACCAGTGAATACTATCATCAACTCATTTATTCTATCTATCTATCTATCTATCTATCTATCTATCTATCTATCTATCTATCTAGCTATCTAGCTATCTATCTATCTATCTATCTATCCAACTTACCAGTGAACGAACAATGCAATGACACTGTTTATCCCTAGTATAGTACTAGTACGTCTCCCTGTTTCTGTGATTCGAGTCGGCACTGATGACAAGCTTGTCCCACACCAGCTTCCTTCATTATGGGTATTATCGCGGGCTGGGGGTTTGGTTTTTGTCTCTTTCCTCATTAGAGAGAGAGAGAGAGAGAG